CTTTCTTTTGACTTTATAGCTCAATGGTGGAGACTTTATGGTTCATCAACCCCCAATTTACAACAACTAGCCATAAAGATATTGAGCTTGACTTGTAGTTCATCCGGTTGTGAACGTAACTGGAGCGTCTTTGAGCAAGTAATTAATTTGCTTTTGAAGAGTCTTATTAGTTCCAAATATTTTAAAATGTTTACTTAATTATTTAATTTAATGTTGCAGATTCATACTAAGAGAAGAAATAGGCTTGATCATAAAAAATTACATGACTTGGTCTATGTTAAGTATAATCAAGCACTCATGCGAAGATACAACCTTAAGGATGAAGTTGATCCCATTAGCCTTAATGATATTGATGAATGTAATGAATGGCTGGTTGGAGAGATGGATGGGGATGATGATGATGAAGTTGAAGCTCTAGATGAGAGGGTTTTTGGTGGAAATGATCCACTTACTTGGAATCAAGTTTATGATGTTTCAGGGGTTGGAGAGCCTCTAATGTATACTAGGCGTAACAAAAGGAAGCAACCTCCAAGTGGGGAAGGAGCATCGTCTAAAAAAGGCAAAGGAGTGTCTTCTTCAACTAGGAAAGGAAAAGGAAAAGTTGTTGAAGTTGTTGAAGAAGATTCAGAAGAAATTAGTGAGGAGTTAGAGGAAGAATTGCCAAATATTAACTTTGACAAATCAGAAGATGAAGAAGTTGAAGGCTATGCCCCTTTGGCATTCAATGAAGAGAATGATTACATTGAGGAAGAGGAGGAGGATGATTAGATTAGCAAAATGCTTCCTGTACTCTTGTTTTTCTATGTTTTTTGTTGTGTTTTAATCAATTATGTTATGAGAAAATGAATTATGGTATTGTTGTTATGATATTTAAGTATTTAAGTTGATATTATGTTGGTTTTAATTCAGTTTTGTTGCTTGTTATTTATTGTTTTGCTTATTTTGTATAATATATATATATATATATATATATATATATTTTAGATTGTTAATACAAGTATATATATATATTATTAATATTATTATGCATAACACTAAGGGTGGTTTTGTAAACTTGCTTACACATAACTAGATGATAGTTACATTACAAACTATTCAAAACTAAGTACAATAACGTACTTATTTACAAACTATAGTTTTTCATACTCCTACTATAGTATTTACATGTTGGGTTGATATAAGTTCACTATTGGATTAACATGATTCGTTGGAGGTAAATAAAAAGTGACTACTATCTGACCACCTATGATAACGGGATTTTGTTGGGTTGGTGAAAATACAAAAGTTGATAATTCTATCCCCTGAAATGTAACGGCATTTGCAGACATGTCCATACCCTAACTAGTACCTGAAAAAACTACAGTAATAACGGAAGTTTTGTTGATTGATATTATGGCAATGTTCATTTATCCTGATTAGTCACTACAAGTATAATTCAAATTTTTATTTTAGAAGAATTAATACATATTTATTAATATTAAAATTTCTATGCATATTGTTATTAATATCTATTGGATAATTGTTCTCACTCCTTATTTTTCTTGTTTAAAATATTTAATTAAATATAATAAAAAATAGATGGATCTACCAACCATACCAGGTCCTTTCACTTCCGTTATTACTGTAGTTTTTTCAGGTACTAGTTAGGGTATGGACATGTCTGCAAATGCCGTTACATTTCAGGGGATAGAATTATCAACTTTTGTATTTTCACCAACCCAACAAAATCCCGTTATCATAGGTGGTCAGATAGTAGTCACTTTTTATTTACCTCCAACGAATCATGTTAATCCAATAGTGAACTTATATCAACCCAACATGTAAATACTATAGTAGGAGTATGAAAAACTATAGTTTGTAAATAAGTACGTTATTGTACTTAGTTTTGAATAGTTTGTAATGTAACTATCATCTAGTTATGTGTAAGCAAGTTTACAAAACCACCCTTAGTGTTATGCATAATAATATTAATAATATGTATATATACTTGTATTAACAATCTAAAATATATATATATATATATATATATATATATATGCTATAGACATAAAATAAAATGGTTCATTGTTTTGAGTAGTTGTACATAAGAACTACAAGTTCTAGGTCATAGGTTCAAGTCCTAATGAAAATGATTACGTGTATGGTAGGAAGATAATGTGAAAGTGATAATTACCGATAGTAATAATGAAATGCCAGTAGATAAGGTGCAGTAGAAAGATAAAAATATACGTGTAAGGTGCGGATGGTAGGAATAAGATAATGTGAATGTGATACTTACTGATAGTAATAATGAAACGCCAGTAGATAAGGTGCAGTAGAAAGGGTGCGGTAATATAAGTGTAATATAGATTGATATTATGGATTCAAGGTAAAATATCCTTTTGTTGATTGATATTATGGCAATGTTCATTTATCCTGATTAGTCACTACAAGTATAATTCAAATTTTTATTTTAGAAGAATTAATACATATTTATTAATATTAAAATTTCTATGCATATTGTTATTAATATCTATTGGATAATTGTTCTCACTCCTTATTTTTCTTGTTTAAAATATTTAATTAAATATAATAAAAAATAGATGGATCTACCAACCATACCAGGTCCTTTCACTTCCGTTCCCTCTGCCCCTATTTATAGGCATCATGGCACACCCGAAACGGCCCGTACTGATTTCGGAACGGCCCGTTCCAGATCCTTCGAATATATGCAAATTTTTCAACTGGAACGACCCGTTTCAAAATCGAAACGGCCCGTTTTCAAAAAGCAGAATGGCCCGTTCTGAAATCAGAACGGCCCGTTCTGGAGTTCATTTTTACACAGTTTGACCATAAGGAGAACGGCCCGTTTCCAACTTAACTTTTTAGGCATTTTTATTACTCTGGAACGGCCCATTTCACTTTGGGAACGACCCGTTCTGGAAAAACCCAATTAGGCATTTTTACAAATTTGGAACGGCCCGTTCCACCATTTGAAACGGCCCGTTCTGGTCCTTCAAAATAGTTCACTTTCATCCTGTGGAACGGCTCGTTCCACTTTTTGGAACAGCCCATTCCGCTTTTTGGGAACAGGTCGTTCTGGGCCTAAAAAAATCAGAATTAACTTTATATAAAATTTTCATAAATAATTTTAAATTAATACAAACCTCTATAAAACCCCTTTAATTAACAAAAATAACTATATAAAAATAATAATATTCAACATTGTATTAGTAAAAAATTCGGGGTGTTACAATAGTCATTCAATTTAACTCCTCCATTTTTCTTTAAATATCACTTATTGGGAAAACATTTTGTATAAGAGGCTCAAGTTGATCTCAAGGTAATCAACTTCTTAGTTTTGAAAACGGTTAAAATTGAACTAATAGAAACTATATCCCAACACCAAAGAACACCACAGGTCTCTTTTTAAGAATCTTCGTCAATACATGAAATTATGTCTAACATGTATTTGGACAAATTTTGCCAGATTGTTTAAGCACGCTAGGTTGAAACTAGGGGTGGGCAAAACGAACTGAACTGAACTGAACTTATAAAAACTATACTGAACTTAAAAGTAGTTCATATGAACTGAACTAAACTAAATATTAGTTCAGACCAACTGAACTGAACTATTCTTTTGTGTCATTGAACTAAACTGAACTATACTATAAAAACTTGAACTGAACTGCAATTTAAACTGCACTAAACTGTTATGATATTTTGAATTGAACAATTTTGACTCATTGATCTATCAAAATAGGACACATTTGTCAACTTTACTTTATTTTCCATTTTATTTAAATTTTTCAAAGGAAAAAAATATAAAATTAAGTCAAACAAACTCAGTGAATTTTAAGCCTAAAAATAAGTAGTTCAACATAGCTCAATTGATCCGTTAAGTTCAACAAAATTGATATAATTTTTTTTCAAATCACTTTTTTTCTAAAATTTTGGTTATTAGACTATCGAGCTAATCTATTAAGACATAACATGTTAAACACATTTAATTTTTATTCTTTTATAAAAATAGTTCAATTTTTATAATTCAGTTCAGTTTTTATAGTTCAGTACAGTTCAACTTTACAACAGTTCAGTTCAGTTCAGTTTTTTTTAAACAGTTCAGTTCAGTTTTTTTTACAAACAGTTCAGTTTAATTTTTTTTGCCAACCCCTAATTGTAACTAAATGTTAGTTGTTGGACAAAACTTATATCGAGTTCAATATATCCTTATCATCAAGTTCTCCAACCAATTGATGACATGCGTGCAGATGTTTATTTAAAATTCTGCATCGCATAGCGAAAGTATATATATTAATTAATACTTCATGCGTGTTTGATAACATGTCTAAAACGTGATTCTAAAAAATTACATTTAAAACATAAAAATTATAATTAATAATTTCCATATAAACGTGATAAATCAAGTTAAAAATTTCAACCAAACACACACTTTATTCATGTTTTGTCCTTAGTTATTCTAACATGTTAGTGTGTAATATATTCAGATAAAGGAAACCTTAGAAAAAAGGATGAAACAAACAAACCTTGACATATTTAATAAGGATCTGAAAAAAAAATCAGAAAGATTCCACAACACATGCTGTATCCGAAAGTGGGCCAATCAAATCCTTAGAAAAGCATTGGGATGGCAATCCGTGAACACAAATAATCATATGCATAACTCTTTTTATTTTTTTTTTATTTTATTTTCATACTTTCTAAAGCAAAAGCAAAAACTGCTACTTTTCCTTTATCTCATTCAAAAAAGGTGAAGAATCAATTCTCCTGTAAGCCTTATTTAATTAGTAGCTATCTATAATATTAAATTAGCAATTTAGTAGCTAAAAAATATTTTCTGTTCTCTGTTTTGTCCCTAAATTTAACCATGTATATAAGTTAACTTTTGATCAACTTTGTTTTTGTTTTTCTTCATCTCATTTTAGTATTACACAATACAGACAAATAATGAAGATTGTCACAATTAAAGAGTTAAACACGTAATTAAATTCAGGGACTAATAATTTCAAATACTAAATTAGTTATTCATCAATCTGTCTCCTACAAATTAAACTTGCACAAAGAGCTGATGGTCCAATATATTTTTAGCCTAAGGATCTGAATTGATAAATTTTAATTTTCTGCTTTGGAACGGTCAATGGAGAGCACAATTCTAGTTAACGTAATGACATTCTTGTCACATAATTTTTTTAATTTTCACCAAAAAAATGGAAAATGATAAAATGTCCGAAATCACATTCCGAAATGCATTCCAAAGAATTAAAATAATAATTTAAATTGTAAAATATTAAATTAAATAATTATTTTATAATAAATTTATTAAAAAATATTAGTATTTTAATATTCGGAGGATCGTTCGGACAAAACTTTCAAACGGTGTATCCTCACTAAAAAAAATAGGCTGGAGTACTCCATCTAACGTTGACATGAAACACTATGGTGTACAACTAATATCTATCTTCTATTTATATATAAAAATTGAATTATATTCTATATATTTTATTATAAAACTAATTTTATATGTTGTTTTATATTAATATATTTGTTTATATGTCTAATTTTTTAATTTTTTATTTTCTCATATTTTTTCTTATTTATTATATATTACATCTCTCCACATTTTATTTAATCTAACTCTTCTTTTTTTATAGTCTAATTTTTATTTTATCATCATCGTCATAAAAAAGATATTACTTTTTTTTCTCTTCCTTTTTTTTATTATTTAATTTTTATTTCATTATGGTACTACTTTTTTTTCTTTCTTTTCTTTCTTCCTTTATATTATGTATTTATATTCTATCTAATCTATTTCTATCCTCTTTATTTAATTTTCATTTCACATGACAATCTTTGTCAGAAATGAAATGTACTGCTCTATCTTCTTTCTTTCCCTCCTCTACCTTTTATATTACATATTTATATTTTGTCTAATCCATCTCTCACCCTTTTTGTTTATTTTTCATTTCACATAACAATCTTTGTAAAAAATGAAAGCTATTACTTTTTCTTCCTTTTTTTCTCCTCAACCCTTTATATTACATAGTTACATTTTATTTAATTTATTTCCTATCCTCTTTGTTTAATTTTCATTTCACGTGACAATCTTTATAAAAAAAATGAAAGGTACATTTTATCTAATTTATATCCTATCTTTTTTATTTAATTTTTATCTCATATAATAATAATCTTTGTCTGAAAAAGAAGGTACTATTTTTTTTTCATTTTTTTTACTATTCTCAATTTGTGAGACATATGAGATTTGATGCATAGGTGCATGATAATTTGTCAAAAATAGAAAGTACTATTTTTTTCATCTTTTTTTCACTATTCTCAATTTGTCACGCATTTTATTTATAATATTATTTTTATTGTCCTGTATATTTGTATTGAGTAACAAATAACTTCAAATTATATTTAATTAGTAAACTAATAATTTTATAAATAATCATATTAACTAATAATTAAGAGATTAAATTAAATTAAATTATTCATTATAAAAAAATAAAATAAAAATATAAAAATATTTTTTTCATCAAAACTATAATGTGTGATAATTTAAAATTACGTTTAATATGTTATTACATATGAATTATTGATTTTACTAATTAAGAGATTAAATTTTGTTAAATTTTCAGTTACAAATATAAATTAATTTTAATTATAAATAAAAATGAAGCTATATTAATTAATATTAGTTATATATTAAAATATTAAATCATTAGTTTACTATTTAAAAATTTAATTTGATTAAATTCTTCATTTTAAAAAAATATATTATAGTATTTAATATTAATACTAATTATAAATCATTATTAAAAATTTCTATTACCAAAATCTAATAATTGTTATTAATTGACATTTATTCATTAATAAGAAAATTAATAATTTTATTATTAATATTTATTTTAAACAACAACTAAAAAAAATTGGCTTACATATTTGAAAATAATGAATATATGTATATTCTTTATTATCAATTTATTCATTTTATAAAATATTGAAATAGAATATTTTATAATTTAGTTATAAAAATATTTATTTGAATATATTACCTTTAATTATAAACTTTTTAAAAGATTATTTACTTAAATTTTATATTTTTGAATTTGAATCTAAAAAAAAATGAAATATTATATAAATATAAATATAAAAAATACTTATAATAATATTTTTTCTTTAAAAATTTTATTATAAATAATAATAAATTTATTTATTGTAAAAAATCAATAATAAACTTATATTACATAATTAAAAAAAATATATAAAATGGAAATTTGAAGTTTCTAGGTTTCTTCAAAGGCTTGGGGTAAGGTGGGGGCCAAGCTACCTGCACACCACATAACACTTTCAGATGGGGCTTTTAGCCCCTTTATATCATAAAAAAATAAATAAATAAATAAATAAAAATAACACTTTCACATGTTCTAACAACATTTCACCACACAGATCAAATCCAACAGAAAATATGGAAGCAAAGAAAATCCCAGAAGTGATACTAAGCTCGGGGCAAAAGATGCCAGTGATAGGCCTAGGAACCGCAGCAATTCCTCCTCCACCACATGAAGCTCTCACCTCCATCCTTATTGATGCCTTTGAGGTTGGCTACAAACACTTTGACACTGCTTCATTATATGAAACTGAGGAGCCTCTAGGCAAAGCTGTGGCAAAGGCCCTAGAGCTAGGCCTCATAAAGAGCAGAGATGAAGTATTCATCACTTCAAAACTATGGACCACTGATGCTCACCCTGACCTTGTTGTTCCATCACTCAAGACTTCATTGCAGTAAGTACATATTATCCTCTTCCACACTTTGTTTAAATGGTTGCATGTCATGTAAGTTTCCTTGAAACTGTTTATTAGGAAGTTGGGGTTGGAGTATGTAGATCTCTATTTGATTCACTGGCCATTGAGAATGAAACCTGAAGCCAAAGGGTACCATAATATACTAAAGGAGAACGTGATTCCATCCTTTGACATGAAAGGAACATGGGAAGCTATGGAAGAGTGTTTCAGGTTGGGCTTAGCCAAATCTATTGGTGTCAGCAACTTTGGCATCAAAAAGCTCACCCAGCTCTTAGAAAATGCAACCATCCCTCCTGCTGTCAATCAGGTATAAAGATTTAGCCACTGCATAATGGTATTTAGTGCATGTTTGGATACAAGTGTTAAAGGACTTCTAAAAAAATTTCTATCGAAAAATACTTTTTATTTTTAATAAAGAAGTTCTAAAAGTTTTTCTAGACTGTATCCAAACAGACTCTTACATTGTGATGAAACACTTGGTGGTGCCGGTGATTCCTTTAATCCTTTCCATATCGGTTTTAGGTGGAAATGAGCCCAGCATGGCAGCAGGGTAAACTCAGAGAATTCTGCAAGCAGAAAGGAATCCATGTGAGTGCATGGTCACCACTAGGAGCTTACAAAACTTCTTATGGTACAAATACAGTTATGGAGAGCCCAATCCTTAAGGAAATCGCTTGTGCAAGACAGAAGAGCACGGCTCAGGTGCTCTTACTATCTCAGAAATATTTAGTTAAGGAAATCCCATTACAACTCTAACTTTGAGACCATGACTTCCATTTCCTGTCACAAGAAATACTTGTTTTTGTATCTCTAAACTGTGAGAGATTTTGTCCCAAATCCAACACAGTTTAGAAAATAAAAGGACCAACAAAACCATTTTTAAATTTAGGAATGAAAACCAACATGAAACCTAATATATTATAGTTGATGGTTGAAAAGCAAAGTATAAGTATATTCGCAATAAGCAATGCAATTGTCATGCAGATTGCACTAAGATGGATATACGAGCAAGGGACAATCGCCATTGTGAGAAGCTTTAACAAGGAGAGGATGAAACAAAACCTTGACATATTTGACTGGGAACTGAGTGAGGAGGAATCACAGAAATTCAGCGAGATTCCACAGCATAGGACGTACCATGGAGTGTGTTTTGTATCAGAAAATGGACCTTACAAGACCTTAGAAGAGCTTTGGGATGGTGACCCCTAAAATCATTCCCAGTAGCAGCAAAATGTCATCTAAATGTCTATATTTTCCCATTCAATGATGGGGGTGGTGTTATTGTTCATGTGCTGTTATAAACTTGCTCAAGATCAAAATATTTGAACGGAAGGAGATCATAGAAAAGGAATCCCTGTCGTTTTAATAAAAACTCACTTCTTTTTTGTATTCTAGATGTATTCTTCCCTTGTTCTTGAAAATGTCCAAGACTATTTATAGGTATATATTTTGATAACACAAACAACAAAATTAGGCCAAAATATGGAGGATATATTTAGATAATTATTTTTATATGAGAACTTATTTAGAATATAAGAGTAAGACAACAAAATAGTGTTCGGTATTAATAATTAGTTGTCAGTTAAACTAGAGACTATAATTCCTTCATAGCTGAAACATTTCCTCAATCAGAGTAATTAATTGTTAAGTAGATAAATCTAGAGACTATAATTCTTTCATTGATGAATCATTTTCTCAACCTGAGTACTTAATTGTTGAGTAGATAAATTTAGAGACTATATATTTCTTTTATAACTGAATCATTTCCTCAATCAAAATAATCAATTGTTGAGAACATATATTGATCTGAACTCCTATAACTATAATGTATAGACTCTATGCAAGTTTTTCACCCATAAAAGAGAGAGCATAGAGAAACAAAGAACAGAGCGGTGTTTATTGCTTTAAACTCTACTAATTCTTAATATTTATAAAAGGGGAATATCGATAGTCGTGATTATAATTAATCATGAAAATTAAAAAATAATTAATTTTAAAATATTTGATAATTTAAATTAATTAAAATTTCAACAATCAAGTTATTATATTTCATTAAAATCAATATTAATTATATTTTAAAAATTGTAACTAATAAAATAATTATTTTAAATAAATTTAAATTCAAAATAATTTAGTGGATAAATTAACCATTTGATATATCTTAAATTGTAAAACACTAATCAATCATTTCCTATTGATGTTAGAAAAGATGGTTTAACCAAGAGGAGGGTGAATTGGTTATTAAAAAATTTCTTTTTGAATCGATCTCCTTGGTTTAAAAACTTTTTTAAAACTTTCCAAAGAAATATATTGATATATATATATATAGTTGTATATAGGATATGATGTTAAGAATATCTTATACAAGTAATTTCATATTCAATTAGTCTTATATGCAACGTTTATGTTTCATGTCATACAACATTAAGCATATAATCAAATTTAAAAGAATGTAAAGACAAGTATAGAGATAGAGAAAAATGCATAGCAAATTTATAGTAGTTTAACTACATGTACTTGTGACTTGCATCCAATTCTCAATCAATTTGATTGAGATTTTTCACTAATCTTTAATGTTAGAAGTTTTATAATTATAATACCACATGCAATACACTTCTACACCAATAAATAAATCAATTCTTATACTCCAAGAAACACTTAGTAGCATCTCGCTACAAAATTTCCTTTTCCTAATAAGAAACTTACTTAAGAAAACAAGTTATAGGGATTAAAGAACGAATTCACATGATGTACAAACCATTTTAGAGCAAGTGAATCAAACCAATGTAGCTTTGTCTATAACTCCATGAAGATGATGATCACTTCAATTCTTAAATCCTTAATTTATTGAGGTTCCCATAAGGGTATCAAACCTCTTATTGCAAAGAGAAACGTTTTCCAAGAGTATTTTCAAAAATAATATCACAAAGATTCAAGTTTTTTGAGTTCTGAACATGAAAAATGATATATAAATTTTTTTAACATGAATAATCAATTATTTTACTGAATAATCCATTATTAGAGCAAAGTTTCTCAGGTAACTAAAAAATAGAGCAAATAATCGATTATTACTCAAGGATAATTGATTATTTTAAGTGAAAACTTAATATTTTTATTTTCATACCATTTTTAAAACTTCTTTTCATTGTCAAATCATTTTTAAAACTTCTTTTCATTATCAAAGAGAAACGTTTTCCAAGAGTATTTTCAAAAATAATATCACAAAGATTCAAGTTTTTTGAGTTCTAAACATGAAAAATGATATATAAAGCTTTTTAACATAAATAATTAATTATTTTACTGAATAATCCATTATTAGAGCAAAGTTTCTCAGGTAACTGAAAAATAGAGCAAATAATCGATTATTACTCAAGGATAATTGATTATTTTAAGTGAAAACTTAATATTTTTATTTTCATACCATTTTTAAAACTTCTTTTCATTGTCAAATCATTTTTAAAACTTCTTTTCATTATCAAACATCATCTAGATAAAGATATAAGGCTAAGTTATCTACAAAGTACAAAGCACACAAACAACAAGATACAATTTAAACTTTTATCTTTTAAGAGACTTATATTTGAAATCATCAAAATTAAATACACTATGTGTTCATCTTGAGCTTGATCAATAATGGCAAGTAAAAAATTAATCAAGCATTTGATGAGTGCATTGAAAGTTACGGTATCAAACACATGCTAGTGAGTACAAACTTTGACATGGGTAGCATAAACAATTGATGAGGATGTTGAAATTGTTAGAAGTCCCACATTGGTGGGAACTTCACACTTGGACCCTACTATAAATAAAGCCTAATGGTCCCTATCTTTCTCATCCCAAATTTTCTTTTCCTTTTTTTTATCTACTTTGAAAGTTTTCTCTCGATAGTAGTTTTCATAAATGAATTTTATAGTGAGGAGTGGTATAGTGGTGTAATTTTGTCCTTCAGTACAACTTTTTCTATTGTGCCCAATCTCTTTTTTTTTCTTATTTTCTCATTTCTTATTTTAGTTGAGAGTTATTATTATATTATTTATGATATTCTAAATTTATGACATGATATTATAATGTTCTTAATTTTATTATTATTATTATCTTATTCTTAAAATAATAGTCTAAATTTCTAATTACCATATTTTAAAATAAATAGAGATTAAGTACAATGTTTTTATATAATTTTAATGCTTTAAAATTTTTATTTACAATATTTTCAGTAAACTAAAATGGAAATATATAATATTTAATTATAAAATTTTAAAATCCTATTTATAATATTTTTATAATAATATTTTAATTAAATTATTATTATGAGAAGTATAAATATTTTAATTATGTTAAACCTTAAATATTTAATATAAGTAATAGAATTTTTTAATTTTTTTTAATATATATGTAAATAGAAAGAGGGAAGTAATTTAGAATTTTTAATATAAGTAAATTTTTGATTTTTTAATATAAGTAATAGAATTTTTTAAAACAAAAACAAAAACAAAAAAACAAAACAAAACCTGTTGTAGACAGCACGTAACCTCACCTCTTATTCATAAGTAATAGAATGGCCTCGATGAGGAAATAAGAATTTAAACTTTCCATTCAAATCCAATTAAATAGTTATAAAAAAAATAAAAATAAAAATAAAAACCAATCATTCAAGACTTCCTATAAATAGGAACGGGGAGGGGACCATCAGAGAGAGAATGTGAAGAGAGAAATTTTTTTTTTACCCAACTTTAGATTAGGCTAAATACATATTTTGATCCCTTATAATAATTGTTTGTTTCAATTTAGTCTCACTTTTATTTTTTGTTTCAATTTGGTCCAAAACTAATTAATTGGTTTCAATTTGGTCCCAAACTAATTAATTGGTTTCAATGTAGGACTTCCGTCCAAATTTTTTTAACAGAGTTAACTGTGTGGCCACGTGGATGCCACGTAGATGCATAAGTAGATGCCACGTGGACGCCATTTTTTTGAAAACACATGGAACTAGAACGGCCCGTTCTGGTTACACTTTTGGTGTGTTAATTTTGCATCCGAAACGGCCCGTTCCAGGTGCAAAATTTACACACTAAAAGTGCAACCAGCATGGGCCGTTCTGGTTTCAGAACGGGCCGGCTCTGGTTCCAAACTACTAAGCATAAACGATCAATGATTATAGTTCACTGTTGTGAATCATGGAAGGAAAAAGACCCAAGGTACAAAGCATTTCAAACACTGAATTTGGTAATATATATTGTCAATGGAAATTGATAACTTCAATTGCTAAACAGTTAGGCTATACAGTTTATTATTAAGGACAATGCAATGTATCACTAAAGACAATGGTAGCAGATTTTATTTCATTTCAAACTGGAGTGAACCACTTACTACCAAATTGACACTATACAGTAAAGGATGAAATGACATAGTATTTTTTCTTGAAGTCATTAATGATGTACCCCAACAACAACAACCTGTTCTTGAAGAGGTAGAACCTGAAGTAAAGGAAGAGGATACACAAGACTAACATTTCACCACAACCATATGCAGGGACAGATCTAAGTTAATCATAGTGGGGGCACTTGTCCCCACTAAAATTTTTTTCATTCTTTTTTATATATAAAATATTAATAATTGTTCTTACCGGAGATCTACCGTAGAGATGATCCGCTGGGTAAGATCGGCGAACCTCCTTCGCTGGTACGTTTGATGCTCCAAGATGGGGGTGGTACCTGCAAAAGAGACTCCGATGCTAAAGTTAGTGTTTGTGGATGTACGAGTCTCGTATAAGCAATGCACGTACCTTAGGGTGAATTACGGTTTTCATGGGCCTTGGGCCCGAGATCAGTTTATGACCTATTTGGATGTCGAGCTGACGTGGCCTAGCGCGTGTCCGACGTCACGCCGCGCTGAGATGTCGAGCTCGAGCTCGGCATAGCAGTATGGATAGTACACTAGCCCCCCGAGCTCCGAAGGCCGTGGGTCGAGGAGTTGATACCAAGCTTGGTAAAGGGTCGTGACTCTTGGCGTACGCTTCTCTCTCGCGATGCCATGTGTCATAAGTGTCACCTCGCTCCCCGAAACGCGCGGGCGGCGTGTTAATGGGAAGTGACGGTTATGTAGACGTACCTTGGTAATATTAGGGTTTTTATTGTCTACCGGCACATTGGCATTGTTAGGGTTTTACCTTGTGATTGCGGCGCGGTGACAAGATTGTATTTTTATCTGTTTGATGACGTGGCCTCTTTGGGCCGATGTGGTATTCCGATGTCCATGTTTCATGGCCGAGTTGAGGAACTCGGCAATAATGAATTTACTGCTTGGTCAGGCTGTAAACCCTTGACCGAGTCAATAGATTAGTGAGGGACAAGTCGGCAACTCGGCTGGCCAGTACACTAGCCCTCCAAGCACCGAG